CAGTATTGTCTTTCTCAATGCAAGATCACTCTCACAAAATATGTCACAACTAAGAAGTGTGGCTGTTGAGTTTGCCTAAGATAGAATAGCGCCCATTCGGCACTGTCAGTCTCCTTTGAACTTTTATTCATTACAGAATCTTGGGCTTACCATATAATTTTAGACTCGACACCCAGTGTTGATTGCCTCATTTTGTACGGCTGGAATCGCGTCGAAAGACGCGGCGATGGTGGCCTTCTTTACATCAGAGCCTCACTTGCACAGTTGCCTTGTGTCCTGAATATTTCCTCCTTCTCCGGAAATTTATGTTTTGCTTTGGTAATCCTTCCGCAGAATAAGAAAGACTTAGTCGGATGTATATAAAGTCCTTCTTGTTACTCGGGAAATGAAGGCCAATTATGTGAACTCTTTGAAAAAATCGCGGAAACTTCTTTCGATGTCAAGATCATTTAGGCGATTTAGATTTACCAGAAATTGACTGGCGCACACACATCCATCCTCTCTTAAATGCCAGAAGCTTCTAGATACCATTTATTTTTCAAACTTGTCTCAATTAATCCACTCTTCTACCAGAGACGATAGTGTATTAGATTTAATTTTTATAAATGGTACCTTCCCTCTTTCTATGGACTTTTACCGTGACCTAATTGCAAACGACCATGCATTAATTCATTGTCGTCTTCCAGTTACCATTTTCGCAAAGCTAACAGTAAAACGTAGAACTTTTGACTTTGTTAGTATCAGCAAGGAGTTAATAAATGACTTTACAAACACTCTTGATTGGCGCAATATGTTTTCAAATAATGATTTAAAATTATTCAACAATTTATTAAAATGTCTAATAGAAGGTCTTATCGACCTAATTCCATGGAAGACAATTAAATCCACTGCCACTTCCCCGCCCTCCCACATTTTCTTAAAAACAGACTTAAAAATCTACGGAAGCAGTTTAAAGATCCCTCTGTGAGCTCATTGTCAGTTCATCTTAGAATCGTTGAAATATTTGAATTATCTTTGAAAATTAGGCTCGCACGAGATAGGCGTAGAGAGTCGTTAGCTCTTAATGACGTGAATGTTTCTTAATCAGTTGCTCAGATCTTCCGTCAAAGATAATCTGCTAAATCCCACCGCCTTTGCTTAGTACTAGCGATGACTTCATTACAGATGACTTAGGCAATGCAGAAATGTTAAATTTGTTCTTTGCCAAACATTTCACCATTGAAACTGACCCAATCCCTTTAATTCCTCCGTTACCTGATACTTCTCTCAGCACCATTTATTTTGCGCCTGAAAGTATTCAAAAACTGATCAACCATCTTCCTTACTCTCACTCAGTAGGTACGGACAATATCCCAAACTCTTTAATCAAACAGCTAAGAGATTTTCCTCCTCTGCTTAGCAAAATATTTTCAGTATTTCTCTTAAATGGCTTCTTCCCTGACTATTGGAAAACTTCTATTATTATTCCAGTAGTTAAGTCTGGCTGTCGTTCTGACGTACAGAACTATCGAGGTGTCCATAAAACACCCTCTCTCGCCAAAATCTTTGAAGAAATGTATCGTCTTGCAAATTACCGACTTTTGCATAGCCAATCAAGTTATTCGCCCTTCCCAGCATGGTGTTTTACCTGATCGCTCTCGTAAAACATGTCATCTATCGTTTCTCAATCCACTTACTTCTCTTCGTAATGACCGTCTATCTGTTGTCGTTTTTTATTTTGATCTTAGTAAAGCCTTTGAAAAAGTGCCCATAAAAGACTCTTGGTTAACTTAGAAGCTCTGGGAATAAGCAGTCCACTGATAGACTTTATCAAGTCATATCTGTCTAATCGTAATAAAAGGTTTAAGTGAGATCTTCACTTTCCAATGAAAGCCCTATTGTAAGTGGTGTCTGACAAGGTACCCTTTTAGGTCTTCTTTCTTTCCTGTTGTATGTAAATGATATCTTGTCTTCAGTTAAGCATCCTCAATCATTTAGTTATGCCGATGATTATAAGTGCGTATATTCTTTCAATTTATCTACGAGCCTTCTTTGTCTGCAGCAAATCCATGCTGACTTGTTTGCTCTCAGCTTGGAAGCCAAAAGGGCTAATGGAATTTTCTCCGTCTATATGTCGCTATATGTGTTTTGGACCTGATAGATTACCACATCCAGTGGTTTTCCTCTCAGTGTATGTATCACCATCAAGAAATTAAGCTGCACAAACGATTTGGATCTATCGCCACACGCTGACAGAATCACATCCAAAGCTGCTGAGATTTCCTACAACTTCTATCTTCCCGTCATTATATTACGTTTTATTGTATGTTCGCAATTCCCATTCTCGAGTATTGTTGTCCATTCTTGGTTTGATGATCGAGGCTAGTCGTCCAAAAATTGAAAATGTTCAAAGAAGTTTTGCTATAAAACTTGTAGACACGGAACATGCAAATATCACCTACTCAGATAGATGCCAGCTAACTAATCTAGAATTTTTACGGGTTCGAATACTGGAGTCGGGACTCTGTCTCCTCTTTCGAATTAATAATGGTTCAAATCTTCCTCCGATTTCAGCACTTACTCCTAGAAGTCGTCCAGACAATTTTTGCAACACTTCCCTGATTATACCTCCTCCCTCTTCCTCCATCTCTAACTGCTCTCTTTTTTGCGTCGAGGGATACGTTCCTCTGGAATAACCTCCCTATAAAAATAAGATCTTCAGACAATCTACACACTTTTAAGAAAAGGCTACGCCTTTATCTGGATGCTGACTCAATTGAACTTTTATTTTCCTCCTCCTTCCTGGACAATTTTCTCTATGATACCGAGAAAGGGCCACCGGGAATTTAGGACGCCGCCATTACATTTCCGTATCCGGTAACATTTCCCTCTTTTGTGTGTAGTATCGCTTCCTAAGATCCCTTATCAAAAATGTTAATTTTTTTTCTTGTCCCTCACAAAATGCGCTCTATCGACGCTCTTGGTGAAATCCTCTGTATTCGCCATATACTAGTAGTCCGGTCGCATCTCACTTGCCCCCTGCTCGGCTGGACTCGGCTGACTGTAACCGATCACATTTGAGTTCCTATTGTCTCGAGACTGGTTTTCTATTCGGCATATGAATCCTGCCTTGATGATGCCCGTTTCTAACATTTTACCCAATACCACACACGGGCCGGTCCTGCCTGACCGGCCTACGTACTCCTTCATGAGATCCGTTATACATTGCCACATACAGGCCGGTCCTGTCTGCTTTCTATACATTCAGGAACGACAGATTTTTTCTCTTATAATGTTAATCCAGTTGTATTCATTTTTTTATAGGTTAGGATTTTTTCACTGATCACTCATCATTCCTCGCAACATACTATTTCAATAACTATGAATCAGGTTTTGAATAGATTCTGTATACCTGTTATAAAATTCTAGAACTCATGCAAACGTTACCATTGCTTGCTATAAGCAACCCCACGGGTCTCGGATAAAAATTATTATTATTATTATTACCACAGTATCTACCGCAATCTACCCTCCTCCTCCGTCTGAGTCAGGTGTCTGTGCATAGTTAAGAAGACCGAGGGTGAGTAAGAGCGCAGGTGGTTGGCATGGCCGGCACTGATACTAGTATTAATAATGTCTGCATTAAATACAACGAATACAGTGAGTCTCTGTGCTCATGCCATCTCCGCTCGTCATCGCGCTGTCCTGTCATTGCTAATTGCTGTATGTGGAAAAAGGGGAAGGTTTCGAAAGATGTCATTACAGCTTGAGCCATAGGCCAAATCTGACCACTACTATCTTCAGCGCCTGTTTCCCATTAAGGGAGGTGAAGTCGGACGTCATCAGACAGAATACTGTATTTTGTACGCAATGATTTTATGGTAAGTTGGAGGAAGTTAGCAGCCGGCAGAAGGCACAATGTCGCTGTGAGAGCAAGTGTCCCGACTACCAGTTGGCCAGGCGTTCAAGCACATTGGATGAGGACATGTGTGAGCCGGCCTTGGGTGGTTTGGGTAGCTGTGGTTGGTCGCGAAACAGATTGTCGCTATCAAGTGTGTGCAAGAACGCACGAGGAGCGCAGAAATGTGACAGACACCCGGAGTAAGGCCTCTGTAAGGATGCCGTAGAGGCCCGCATATCTCCAAACCATTTCACGCCCTACTCACCGTAGTAACCCCAGAACAGTCGTCGTTCTATTGTTTATGATGTACGCACAATCATTTCCAACAAAAATTTCTTCCTACCAGCGAGCTGGTGGACCAAAATCGGCAGCGATAGCGCTACTACTGAGACGAAGCCCATGTTCGAATTTCCATTGTTCTGCTGTATACGTGAAAATCTCGACTTTTGTCATGGGTCTGTGGGCCTCAATTCAAAAGTGGCTCGAAGTCGTTGTCTACGCGTATTATAATGCTCCCCCTAATTCATACGCTTTATTGTCTCCGGGCAACAATGGTGTTTAAATACCCAGAACTTGCGGAGATCGTGGCAAATCTACAGTCCATACAAACTGTACAGGATGTAAATATGCTGCCTTTGACATGTGACATTAGACAATTTAACACTTTGAAGGAGTCTCCGCAAATTTAAGATAAAGAAACGTTGACAGCCAAAGTCTGTGGTCGTAAGCTCCTTAGCTTATTCCCTTTCGGCTTTCGGCCAGCCTATAACACTGTCTTATCCATGCGTGATCTAGCTGCCAGGCGCTGCGAATGCGTGACGCCGATCGTTAACTCTGCTCTTGAAACTGACTGAGGGCCAACTTGGCTCAGGTACTCACTCACACTCGCACAGACGCTGGCAGCGCCTGAGGATGACTCGGCGCGGTGCCTTTGCTTCCGAGCTGCTTGTCGCCCCCTGCCATAGTAAAGACTGTGTAAACCGGAAAACTATGGCCGTTACCAAAATTAAATTATTTGGACATGCATAGTCGCATTTGGTCTATGATTTAGGTTAAGAGCTCGTTAGTGTGCATTTCGTCGAGGAAAAGCTTTTTCGTTGAACAGTTACAGCGGTCACGCCTAGCCCAAAGCACACACCATCTTAGCAACGACATCAGCACGGTGGTAATAGAAGTGGTGGCGGTGGTAACAATAATAATAATAAAAGCAGTAGTAGTAGTAGTAGTAGTAGTAGTAGTAGTAGCAGTAGTAGTAGTAGTAGTAGTAGTAGTAGTAGTAGTAGTAGTAGCAGTAGTAGTAGTAGTAGTAGTAGTAGTAGTAGTAGTAGTAGTAGTAGTAGTAGTAGTAGTAGTAGTAGTAGTTGCAATAGTAGCAGAAGCAGTGGTACACAGTGAGTAGACTTGTGGCGGTCCGTGCTTCTCTGTTCTTTGCCGTTTTGTCTATCTGCCCTTCTGTCCACCCTAAGCTCTCTGTGTATTCGCTGTTGGAAACGCGCGAGGCGTATCACTAGCCTGGCGAGAGCACGAATGTAATCAACGTTGCGCCTTCTCTGATTGGCTGGCGGATGCTAACCGGGACAGAAAGAAGGAGGCACACACGCGCTGGGGGCTAACAACCTCAACGGTGGACGCGAGCAAAACGACTTGCCTGGGGGCAGCTGGCGGCGACTGCTTTCAGAGCTTCCATCAGGCTTTGACATGTCAGTAAAGTTGTCCAAATCAATCCGTCTTCCCTGACTTGTGATTTAGGAGAATTTGTGTTGGCGATCATTACGCCAATCTCGACAGACGCCAGGCTGCTTAGCCTGCAGCTAGTCGCCAGCGCATGATTGGCATTCTTAGAAATGAGAACAAAGTGTGAAGCCCTACAATTGGCAAGATTAATAAAATTTTCGAAGTAACCCTAAAAGAAAAAAGTCATCCGTAAAAGTCATTCTGTAAAAAGCGTTAATTTACTCTGTCTGCGAATTTTTTGAACTCATAGTCGTTTAAAACGGTTGACGAGATAAGCTTAACCACCCTATGAACTGCCCTGGCGGACGGTGTTAACAGCCGGCTCTTCTTTCGCCACCAGCCCGCTGTATGTCAGTGCAAATCGCTGGTACATTTATTTGAACTTAATTTCTTCAATGCCGTGAGCCTGCCAATCTGCAATTTTCGGGTCGATTGAGCAAAATTAGACAATTGTCCTGAACTGCACTCCGTGGTCGCCGAAAAGGTCAAAATGGTCCTGCGCATTAACACGTGATTTCGAACTATGCACATGTTATGCTGCCTGTGATCGGGAAACCATTGACGCCAATGTGCCTGTGCATAATGTTGAGCACTTAACAAGTAGCTTATTGGCAATTTGCTTCTGTCACTATTTACTAAATAATTACGGGAACCAGTGATTTAGTGCAGTAAGCATCAAGAAGAGGCAGTATTAGCAGAGCCTGTAAAGACTGCAACCGCCGTCTCAGACTTACATATCGTCGTCAGAGAGCCAACATCATATTAAGATCTGTCAGACCCAAAGTCCTAGCATAGGTTCAGCTTTTAGGTGAAACAGAAACTCACCTACTTGAGCGGCGGGCACACACTTTGTCGGTTGCTGTAAATATTCAAGCTCGCGAGGGAGTGGCGTCAACGGCGGTCGCACGACAGCAAAAAGCAATCTACTCTGCTAGCACCAGCTTCGGCTGGCTGGCTGTGGCCAGAGAAGGCTGTGATGAGGCTAGACGTGACTCTGTGGCATGGATACGGCCTGGCATTCTAGACGGCAGCCACATTTGGCCACAGCATTCGAAAAAAATTGTGCAAAGTTACTCATTTATTCTTTTTCGTCCCCCGTCCCCCCCGTTTTGGCCTCGCTTTTGTAGACGCGATTGCACTCATTTAAATTATAGGCTATCGCAGTACCTTTAAATGTGCCATCGGCGCTTCGGCGAAAGCAAACATGTGATAGCTAGTCCATGTAAGTACACAGTCGGACAACCAAGATAGCGCCTACTCTATCACACGACATAGGAAAGCGGACAGGCAAGTGTTAAAAACGACGGCTTATTAAGTATGTGCATGTAAAAGAAATCTTGACGAAAAACATATACCAGGATACAGTTCTTCTTCATGCGATATTAAACGGCTTTCACATAAAAAGGCGGACCACTTTCATTGGCTACTGGCGGTTCATGTAAAAAAATATCTGTGGTAAAACATGAGTAATGCTCTCGTCATTTAAATTACTAATAACGTTGATACCAGAAAAAAATACAATTTCCAGGTGGCATGTCTAACGTAGGCATCCATCAGGGGAAGTCTTGCAGTTCGAGTTGTTAATTCGTCTGCCCATCCTCATACACTGTAAAGTCTGTACAATGCCCTCATTGACCTACCGTGGGGCTGCATCGGATTCATATTTCGATGTGACTAGTCTCGTCCCCGCCCTCGTTGACTGCGGAGGTAATTGACGGTCTCAATTGCTTCATGCTGTTACTGTCTCCTGTAAAAATTCCTAAACTCGAATAGAAGGCAGTCTAATTAGTATAGCCGTTGACTGAGCTCTCGGTGGACATGCGGTTCACATTAGACTTTCGCTTATGAAATCACCTACAGTGAGTGTAGTTCGATCTGCGAAGCAGCATACCAGTCACATCCATAGTTGTCATTTTGAGCTTTAACTTGCCGCACATAACGGTGGGCAGAAATGTCGCAGATGGCATTGGCTAGGTTCACCTTCACGGCATTCTCCGTATGCGGAACACGCAGACCACTGGCCACAATGTCTTTCACTTCACCAACACGATTGCCGAGGGAGTCACCCAATGGATCCGGAGAACACTCCAATAACAAAGGGCTGTGAATTGGCCACATGCATTGAGCAGACCCCTTAAAAATTTTCATTCAGTCAATGTGCACTTGAACGCACATTTCGGGAATGATCGATCAGGACAGACCGTGTAGCTCATCGAGCAAACCACACTTAAGGCCTATGTGGACATAGCTGCCCTTGTTCAGGGGCTTGCTGATGCAATCTCGAGGAGACTGCAATATCGTCCTTGGATCTTTTGCTACTTCCTGATGGTAGGGCCGCAGCATCCGAAACATTGTCTTCACCGTGGACAATAGCATTTGGGGCTCCGGGCAAAATTCCCGCAAACCCACTGCAAAGCATTTGCCTTCAACGGCATCCACGCTCTAATTTATTTCCGCGAGTTCTGTACTTTCTGGTAACTAACACACCTAGTATGCTTATCCGTATACACTTCAGGAATTAGTTCAGGCACTTCAAATTCCGGCGATTAGTCCGCCACTGACAACGTAGAAGGAACGAATAGATCTCTTATGAGGGCACAATATACCTTCTTCTCACGTACAATTCACTTCTGTTTAGTACTTCGGTGAACTTCGTAATACTTACGTTTCATCGTTGCCTTCAGCAGGCATTAAAACCAGTATGCAAAAGGTTTTACTGCATCTTCAACATCCGCTGCGGAATTGAAAGTTTAATTCGATTAATAGACCTATTTATCGCTCGATTCACATAAAATGCAAAAAGGCATAATAGATATAAGGTCGACGTAGGAAAATGTACCACTGTCGTAAGTGTTAGGTGAATAAGTAAAAATATACTGTCATCACCCAAAAATGAGGTCTCCACTCATATTCTATGTGAAGTAATGTAAACTTAGGTAAATTCAGTACATTTAAATGCCAGAGGTTTCGTCTGAACGACTAAAATGCACCAGAGAATTTCTTCGAACTTGGCGCGGCCATGGTACCATCTATCCACGCTTGGCCATACCCGCAAGGCTATGCCATGTGTTGTCAGGATAGATCTCCGTTGTTGCCTTGCAGCGCCAGATTATGGCTCTCAAAAACCGTTGCGCAGAGATAAACAGTCAGTGCTTGGCATATGTTACCGACATAGATAAAAAGGGAACAAAACCGATCGGTTCTGGCCTGCTTACGGCGTCAACCAGTGAGAATGGAAAGACAGAGTCCTTTTAGTCGCTGAAAAGTAAATCCAACGTTCAACCATTCAGCCACATATTCGTGATCTCTCGATTACGATCTGGAGTTTAGCCTGTCTGAGGATGGGATGTAGGTGAGACGACGACGACGACGACGACACCAACGACAAACAGGGCGGAAATGACCATGCAAATCGCCAGTGTCTTGGTCGTTAGGAGTCTCTAGTTACTTGGGACTCGTGTCTGTGAGGATTCCGAACCGAATCACAAGTAATGGTGGAAATTCCCTATCTCATTTTGCAATCAGAGCAGATTCCTGAAATCAGTTCGCACGGGACAGTTAATGTTTTGTCATAAAGGTCACGGAGGATGGCTTGTAAGACAATTGAGTGATCTTATATTCACTCGTAACATTTGTTTTTCCCAGCCTCTCTATTAAAACGACAAACTTACTGCATAAATGCTGAAAAGTTGTTGTAAGGTGGCGTTCTCTGAAAATAACGGCAGGACATGCACGGGAGCGCGCGGCGATAGGGACGACGGCTGCATACAAGAACGCAGCATGTCTTCGCGCGGTACGAATGCTGAAGCAAACGTTCTACCATCTTTGAAAGAGTTTCACCTTGGTTTCGTAGGAATAAAGTCTCAATAGTGAGATGATCCGAAGTTTTTTTGCAGTCCATAGCAGCACCAGTTCCTTCTCGTCTTCAAAATAGTTTTTATCTACTACCACCAGACAGTACGAAGCAAAATTTGGGGTTTTAACTAACCCCA